CGTCAGGCGCCGCGATGCATGTCTCGTCGAAAGCCGCACTTACGTGCATCAGCCCGCTCAATGTTGTGGAGCAACGAGACAAATGTCGGCTCATCCTTGACCTGCGGAAGGTCAACGCTCACCTCCAAGTTCCCAAGTTCAAGTACGAAGGCTTGAGTCGGGTCGCGGAAATCATTCGCCCAAACGACTGGATGTTCACAATCGATCTCAAGTCAGGCTACCACCACGTCGAAATCCACCCATCGTGCTGGAAGTTTTTGGGCTTTCAATTGGGCGGAAATTTCTATTGCTTCACATCCTTACCTTTCGGCCTGGCAACAGCCCCGTTCGTCTTCACCCAGCTTATTAAGCAACTAGCCAAGAGATGGCGCGCGCGCGGAGTGCGCGTAATACCATACGTGGACGATCTACTATTCCTCTGCGACTCCGAGGCGCTAGCCCGTTCGACGTGCATCGAAGTTCTCTACGACCTGAAGGCGGCAGGATTCGTGATAAATTCTAAGAAATCACACCTGCATCCCGCACACCACTTGCGCTTTTTGGGGATGGAGCTTGACACGGAACGAGGGATGTTCATTGTCGGAAAGGATCGGCGCGAACAACTACTGCAGGAGCTCCACCTACTTATAAAAAAAGGGCAATCGGGTCGCCAAGTGCCGATTCGCAAGATAGCCCGGATCACTGGATTTCTCAGCTCCATGTCGCTCGCGCTGGGCACGACGGCGCGTGCCTTCAGCCATGAGCTTCTGCACTTGATCGACTCCGCATGGTCATGGAACTCAAAGGTTTTATTGTCACCAGGAGCGACCGAGGAGCTGCTGTTTTGGACAATGCACTTCGATCGTTTCAATGGCGCCCCATTCCACCAGAGTCAGCGTTTTGATGCCGTGATACACGTCGACGCAAGCGCACACAGCTGGGGTGCCACTCTGGCCAAGTTCCCAAGTACATCATGCGAGGCAAGCGAGTGCATGCCACAAGGGCTTCTCCCCACATCTAGTACGCGGCGAGAGCTCGAGGGAGTGCTCTGGGCACTGCGGACGTTCGCAACCCAAATCGTGGGTGCTCACGTCCTCGTCCGGGTAGACAACCAGGCAGTCATGTTTATCTTGCGCAAAGGGGGATCCCGTCAGGCGGATCTTACGTTGACATGCCAAGCGATCATCCAGTTCTGCCTCGGCAACACAACACGCCTCGCGATCGAATGGATTCCGAGAGAGCTCAACGCCCATGCGGATGACCTATCCAAGATGCAAGATTTTGACGACTACTCCCTACACGCACCTTGGTTTCGCCTCTTGGAACGACGCTGGGGGCCTCACACAATTGATCTCTTTGCTAACGTTCGGAACAATCACGTTCAGCGCTTCTGCTCTAAGATACCGCACCCCGACGCGTTCGCCGTCGACGCATTTTCCATCTCGTGGACAGGCGAGCGATGCTTTGCCTTCCCGCCTCCACACTTAATTCCCGCTACACTCCGCCATGCGGAACTGACGCAGACAGAACTCACGCTCGTCGTTCCACAGTGGACCGGAGCGTCATGGTGGCCGCTTCTCCAGCCGTCCACTCAATCGTGGGCTCCGGCAGTAGTAGAGCACCTTTCCCTTGCCCAAGGCAGCCAATGCCTTCGGGCAGGTTCACACACAGCTGCATTCTCTGGTCTCGGATTGCCCCATAGCCCAATCATTGCTTTGCGTGTAAACTATGCGGTCTAATAACAATTTCTCAATGTGTCATTTCAGGACTTTTGGCCAAACTAAAGCAACAATTGATGCACGTAATTAGCCACGTTCGCGCACCATCTACAATCGAGACGTACCAACCTTATTGGCAGAGATTTCGCACCTTCTGTACCCAAGTTAAGCTCGAGTTCCTACCGGCAACCGACCTGACGCTAGCGCTGTATCTCATCCATGCGCTCAACAACAAAGCAACTCTCTCTGCGATCAACCTCACGTGTTCGGCAGTAGCCTTCGCCCACCGCATGACAGGCGAAACCTCCCCTACCGCTGGCCCACTCACCCTGCAAGTGCGGGAGTTCGCCAAGAGACATGGCCCTCGGCCTACAAGGACCAAAGAGCCGATCTCTCTCCATCAAGTGCACGACATGGCTCGTCCCTTCCTCGAATCACCAATTCCTGCGGAATACCAGAAAGGATTGATTCCTCTTCTCATGTTTTCTGCATTCTTGCGCTACTCCGACCTCGTCTCGCTCCAATGGAATGATGTACAGTTCGAGGAGAAGGCAATGTGGCTGCTCATCCCGCACTCCAAGACGGACCAGGAGGGGAGGGGAGTCTGGATCCCAGTGGCAGCAATTCCAGGCCCATACTGCCCGGTGAGGTGCACGCGCACATTTATACACATCGCAGGCCTCACAAAGGTGCCACATGGACCGCTGATAAGGGTTTTCCCGAAGAACTCGCAAGCCACACCGAACGACAAATCACCATCCTACGTTACGATCAGAAACTGGTGCCTCGCGGCCGGCAGGCAAGCTGGACTGGATGTCGCGCACATCGGAACCCACTCATTCCGCAAAGGCGCAGCCACGGCGGCGGCAAGCCTCGGAGTTCCTGACCGGCTCTTCAAACGCATGGGCCGATGGCGCAGCGACAGCGCGAAGGAGATGTACGTTACAATCGCGCAGGATCAGCTCATCTCCCTCTCTACGCAATTGCAGGATCCTTCGACGGCTCCCTCGCCCGCTACGCATCAGCTGTCAATCGAACGACACCGCCAGCCCCGACTGCACTTGCCTCAGAAGACCCATATGAAATGATAACGCTGCCTTTGCCAGTCAGCCTAAGTACACTTTCACAATATGATAATTTTTGAAAGTGTAATGAAATGTAACACTTTCTAAAATTTTGTATTGTGAAAAGGGGTACGTGGCCAACACAGCAAAGGTAGCGCCGAAGCGCTACTCACCCTCTTTTGCCTACAAAAGAGGGACGTGGGGACATTCGTCCCCACCCACGTTTTCATTTTCAAAATTGTAGTTCTAATTTCCCACCCGCCCACCCATTGTGTATGCTGTTATGTAGATTTATATAAGACGAGAACGATGTACTACAATCCATATGAAATGATAACGCTGCCTTTGCCCATATGCAATGATAACGCTGCCTTTGCCAGTCAGCCTAAGTACACTTTCACAATCTGTACCATGTTACACAGGTCATGATGATCATGGCAATCATTTAGGGCGTGGAACTTTTAGTCGACCACGCCGATTTATCGACCATTTGGTTGCATCTGGCAAAAGCGAAGGGTGTAACAGAGCTGCGAAGGGTGCGAAATTTCTAAGCTATTCTGCTCACCAGCACGTGGGGCACCCAACAGAAACCACCCCCACTAAGCAGAAACGTTTGTTCCCACTTCAAGCATTCGAAAGGGGTGCGGGATATTGGGGAGAGCGGGAAATGAGTAGGACGTTAGGCAAAGACAACTAAGGGTAAATACTGGAAGTCAAACGATGTACCCTTTTTTAATGGATTAGTGTGAGGAGAGGATCTAAATACTTACGAGAAATCCCAATGATTTTCGGTCAATTCAGGGTGACTAGGTACCATGCATGCCAGTCAATGGGGTTTCCTTAAATTCTTCGCAATCGCCAGGAACAACCATCCTTTTGACCATTGGGCGTGGTCGTTAAAATGTTCCACGCCCTTAGGGTTCGTGGTGCTGCAAGCCAATATAGGGAGCACCAAGTTGGAGCTAACATGTTCACACTGGGGCATTAGACTAGGCATGCAAATTCAGATACACTATAAAATCACTACGTAAAACATGGCCTTCAAGTTAGCGCTGGCCCTAACTCCAAGCCTGAAAAAGTTGCATTCCCTAAGTAGGAAATTAGCAGGCAAGAGCTCCTAGTGGTGCCTAAGCACGGTACAAATCAGCTTCTCCCTCCGTCCCTCCTCTCTCCCAGCATCACCGAGAGGCCAACCAAGTGCCTCCAGGTGCCAATCCCACCATGCCGGCCCCATGCCCAAAATCCCCATCCTGCTGCTGCTGCTGTTGCTGCTGCTGCAGCAGCAGCTGCCTCTGCTTGATAATCGCCCTCGCTTCCGCCAGCGCTCCTCCCTTGGCTCTGGCATTCCCAACACCCCCCTCACCCCACTTTGGCACAGGAGGCCGGAAGGGAGCAGCAGAACCAGACCCACTGGAATAACCTGAAGAGTTGCTCGCGTTGGTGTAGCCTGCAGCGTTCGCTGCAGCAGGAGCGCCCACACTCGCAGACGCTGCTGCTGCTGCCGCTGCCACGCTGGCAGACGCGCGCGGCCCTGCTGACGTGGCGCCAGCAGCGCGGAGGCTCGCCACGTGTGCCGACGCTGACTTGGCAGACGATGACGAGGATGAGACGTTGCTGCTGAACGGGTTGCGGACAGGAGTGACCGGGACAGAAGCAGACTTGCCACCAGCAGTGGTGGTAACCCCGTTACCAGCACTGGAGTCAGGCTGTGCGGTGGAGAGAGCAGCAAAGGCTCGCACTATTGAACCCAGCCCCCGGGCCTTACGAGCCCCATGACTATGACCCTGATTCTGACCCTGACTGCTGCTGCTGTGTCTGCCGCTGTGGCTGTGGCTATGGCTGCTGCTATGGGTGCGGTGCTCCCCATTACTCCTCACCCCATCCGCCCCCTCTGCTGATGCCACCATGTGCACTGCTGCACCTCCTTCCTCCCCCTCCCCCTCCCCACCTTCCACCTCCATTTGCATCTTATGCCCCCCATGCCTCTCCATCTTCTCCCGCCTCTCGTGCTTTTCGCTCCTCTCCTTCCTCTCCTTTCTCTCCTGCCTGCCCGCCTCTACCTGCCCGTCCTGCCCCGCCATCTGCCCGCCCATCTGCCCGCCACTGCCGCCCACAGGCACGCGCACCATGGCGCGCATCTTCAGCACTGACGTCAGCGCTGGCGTCAGCGTCTCCGCGTGGTAGGGGCTGCTGCCGCCGCTGCCCGCGTTGCTGCTGCCGCTCACGCTACCCGCGCTGCTCATAAAGGGGACCACCCCTCCGTCACGCTACTCGCGACGCTACTCGCGGAAGGGGATTTGCAGCTGAGATACGCGCTCTCCTCTCCCCCGCTTGCGCTTCCGCCTGCGCCCTCGCCGGTTCCCGCGCCCCGCTGCGCGGAGTCCCGCCGGCGGAGGGGTTTTTCCTTTTCCGCCTCGCAGGCTCCGCGCATGGGGAGCACCAGCGGCGGAACGAGCTTCCCGCCCGCGCGCGGGTTGCGCGGAGAGGACAGGCGCGGGGACTGCCGCGGGTCGACGAGCGACGAAGGGGAGGGCTTGGGCGACTGGCGCGAGTCGAGAGGGATCGCGCGGGGCGACTCGGGTGGCTGCGAGGGGCGCGTGGCGGGCGACCGGACCTTCTTCTTTGGCTCGCGCGGCTCGCGCGCCTCCCGCTGCTCTTGCTGCTCGCGTTGCTCGTGCTGTTCCCGGTGCTCCGCGCCTGGCTGTTCCGCGGGGATTTTGATCGACACGCCTGCGCGGCTGCCGCCCTTGTCCGCGCTGCCACCGTCCGCCGCCAAGCCCGCCGCGTTTGCCGCCGGCTTGCGCGCCGGGTTCGACGCGAGGAACTGACTCGACGCTCTCCGCGCGTCCGTGCCCGCCGGCAGCCCGCCGATTGCGGCGCCTTTCGCGGCGCCGGCCTGCCCGGCCAGGGAGTCCTCCGGCTTGGCGGCGCGAATCGCCTCCATCCACGCGGGTTTCGCGAAGCCGCGCTTCTGCGGGGCGGAGGAGGCGGCGGAGGAAGGCGCGGAGTCGTCCGCGGAGGCGGCGGGCGCGCGGCGGGGGGACGAGGGGCGCGGGCGGAGGTAAGAGAGGAGCTCAGGCACTGGGAGGGAGCCGTCGGGTTGGGATAGCCGAGCCTGCAGCTCAGGTAAGGGAGGAGGCTGCTTGGTTGGGTCGAGAGGCGGCTCGGTCCTGAGGCAGGGAATCTCGACCGTTGTCACTTCCGAAGCTGACGTGGCAGATGCTTGAGTGCGCAGCGGGATGGTGATGACTGACGGCTTGGCGGTGCGAGACCGCGGCGTGGAAGAGGAGGAAGTCGATTGGCGCCGGAAAACCGGGAAGCACGAGGGCGCTGCGTCCATGAACGACGACGAGGAGCGACTCGAGTCGCCGCCTCGTGCGGCGGAGGATGCGGAGGGCGAATCGAGCGGCAGGTGCGTGGGGGTGCTTGGGAAAGACATCGGGGTCGAGTCGCCCGAGGGCGCGTCGGCGACGGTGACGTGAGTTGCGGCGCGCGATTTGCGCTTGGGGGAGAAGAAGCGGAAGTGGGACGCGCGCGGACGAGTCGCGCTCGCAGTGGGCGTGGCGGCCTGCGAGCTGGCTTGCGACGGCGACGGCGACGGCGCGGAGCCCGCCGCAGGCGGAACCTGGATTGGCGGCAGCGCGTGCGACGCAGGGTGGCTCGCCTGCGGCGACCCCTGCGACGGCTGCTGCGACGGCATCTGCTCGTCGACATCCATGGCGCGCGGAGCTGTTGCGGACTCGCGGTGGCGGGACCGCCCGCGCACTTGCTGCTCCGCGGCGGACGCGCCTCTCGTCGATTTCCCCCGCCCCTCGCGTTTTTCGCGCGGCTGACTCGTTCGCCGCGTGCGCTGCAGCGGCTGCACCTCCTCCCCGCCTTGCGCTTGCGCTTGCGCCGCTTCCACTTGCTGCGTTGGCCATTGCCGCTGGGCACCCGCGGGCGCTTGCCGCGGCTGCTTCATGGGCGCGGGCATGGCGGAAGAAGCGGAGGCGGCGGAAGAGGCGGAAGCGACTGGAGCGATAGGAATTGATTGGTCGGAGTCGACGTCCATTGCCCTGCCCTGGTGCGCGGCTGACTGTCCCCCGGACTGCCCCGCTCCGCCCACGCGGATCTTGTTAAGCGTCGGGAGGGGCGCAATTACCGTCGCTTCCCCGCCCGCCTCCATGCTACCCGCGCGCGGCAGCTGCTGCGCCTTGCCCGCCTCCGGGTGCACCTTCGCCCCGTTCTCCCCCGCTGGCGCAGACTTGCGCGTAGCTGCGGGGGTCTTGGGCGTCATCCCGGGCATGGGCTCGGCGGAAAGCGAGGGCGCGGGGGAGGCGGCGGGGCCGCCGCAGTGCTGCACGATCCAGGGGTGCTGCAGCGCGGCGAGCGCGGAGGGGCGGTGCGCGGGGTCGGAGTGGAGCAGCGAGCGGATGAAATCGACCGCCTGCGGGGATACGCGCGGCCAGGGGTCCGCGCGGAAGTCGGGGGAGTTGCGGAGGATGCGCAGAAAGAGCTCCTCGTCCGTGCTGCCCCAAAACGGCATGTAGCCTGCGCGGGATGGGGGGAGGGGAACGGGAGAGCGCGGGGCGACAATTGAGGAGATGGCGGTGAAGCACGGTAACGTTGCATAGAGCAGTCAGCCGGCCAATGGCTTGACGGATAGCGCGCAGGGGAGCAGGGCGGGGGAGGGAGAGTGGAGAGCAGGAAAGCGGGGAGAAGGGAGAGGGGAGGGCGGGCGGACGAGAGGCGTACCGGCGAGCGCGAGGTAGACGATGACACCGAGGCCCCACAAGTCCACGGCGTGGCCGTAGGGGCGGAAGGGTGGTTACAGAAATAGGCAGTAAACGCACGGGTGAGGAGGGAGGAAAAGAGGTGAGGGCGGGACGGGGGAAGAGGCGTACCGGCGAGGGCGAGGTAGACGATGACTCCAAGCCCCCAGAGGTCGACGGCATGGCCGTATGGGCGGCGGCACACCACCTCGGGAGACATGTAGATGGCGCTGCCGTACATGCCCACGGCGCGCTGCCCCGGCCGCAGCAGCACGGCCAGCCCGAAGTCCGCGAGCTTCACGTGCACGCGGCCCGAGCCGTCGTCGGGCGCGACGAGGAGGATGTTTTCGGGCTTGATGTCGCGATGCATCACTCCCACCGCGTGGCAGTGCGCCAGCGCCAGCAGCACTTGCCTGCCAGGGAGCGTGCGGAAATAGACGCAATGAGAAAGACGGTTAGTGGCATTAATTATTTTGAATGTTTTTTTTTTGTTCGTCTATGTGAGCGCCCGGATGTTTCGGACTCGAAGCTCATGTTACGTAACGCTGCTTTGGTTCTGAAACCCTAGGCGGCGAGGGTCCATCCAAGGTTCTGCGACGGGCGAACCTGCGACGTCTACGGCAAGGCATTTTAACCCTAATCGCAGCACGCGTACCTGGCGATTTCGGCTGCGACGGGTTCTGCGACGGGCGAGCGTGCGATGAGGAAGTCGTAGAGGTCGCCGCCCTTGCAGAGGTCCATCACGAGGTGCACGGCATGCGCGTCCTCGTACAGCCCGCGCAGCTCCACCACGTGCGCGTGCCCGCGCACGCGCCGGTTCGCGTGCACCTCGCGCTGCAGCTCCTCCAGCGCGTCGCGCCGCTGGAGCTTGCTCTTCGGCACGCTCTTGCACGCCGCGACCGGTATCCCCGTTTGAAGGTCGCTGCATACGGTTACTACGCCTGTGCCGCCCTGCCCGAGCTGCTTGCCGAGGTGAAAGCGGGTTCTAATGTCTGAGCGGCTGGCGTTCGGGAAAAGCCGCTCTGGCGTCGCCATCGCCGCCATTCTAACTACCTTCGCGGATAATAAACCTCTTTCTAAAGCGTTAAATGTTAAGGCTTGAAGTGCGACCGCTGACTAAAAATTAAACTACTGCGAGAAAGCACGCTCAAGCCGGGTCACTCCATTTCGAAACACGCACACGCATATTCTCACACGAAGCTCTGGTTTTCTTACCGCATGCTATAGCTCCATTAGCATCCACCTAACTCACAAACAAAATGTTGAATGTTTGTGCTGTCGCTGCTTTTAGGTGTGGCAGGTGGGACAGGACAGAAAAGAAACGCTTGTGCGTGCAGCCAGGGTTTGCCTGCTGGTTGTCGTGCGCCTCCTTGTTGGTAAAAGTGGTGGTGGCGGTGATGGTGGGATGGCTTGTCATACAGTCCCTGCAAATACGCGCCCCTCCATACAGTGAACGCACAGTGGAGGGTGTTCGTGCGAAGGAAAGGTTGTGTGAGAGAGTGGAGAGGGGCGTGAAGGAGTGAGTGAGGGAGTTGTGAGTGGAGCATGGTCCTCAGCATTTCGCCGCAGCTTTGGTGGGAGCAGCTCTCCCACCATTTCATAATTCTCAAACCCAAGCGGAAGCGCGCACGACGCCGACGGACCGCGCACCCGAGGTTCGACAACCAGTGCGAGGGTGCCATCTGGTAAAGTACGGACGGCGCGGTGGGCTTATGGGGGGCGAGAAGTGGCTGGGGTTTGGGCTTGTAGAGGGGCTGTGCGAAGCACGGCGCAAACGATGGCAGTGCGAGCAGTACAATCGCGAGGGTTGTCGTGATTGACGACAGTGCGATGCCTTCCATGACTTTCGCCACCCATGATCACCATCGCAAGGCTTGCGGTTCGGAAGTGACCACACCGAGCAGGACTGACTCGGTTGAAGGAGAAGAGTTCGTATTTGTAACGAGTCTAACATAAGGACGAGATTTATGTGATTAAGCTAGCAAGCCCTTCTAATACACCCCAAAATATCATCGACCAAGTAGTAAAACTGAAGTTACCTTTCAAAATTAGACTGTTCTGAAAATAACCTACAATCATGTTTGTAGCGTTTCTCCATTCAATTAGCGTAATTGAACAGTATATGTGTTCCAAAACCAGGTAGTATATCATAGGAGTTATATCAAATTTGATAAACCACCTCTACTTGAACTGTGTTGCGATTGCGATGCCGTTATTTCGCCTCCCCCCAGAACCAAAAGCCAACCTCTATTTTGTGTTCGGTCTATCGATCGCGCCCACGTCAGCCCCACTTTCGGAGCTGGAAGCCATCGCGAGAGCCGCATAATCTCGCCACGTGTACCACGGAGGTTGTCTGTCATCTGCAACACGTCAGGCCCAGGTCACTTCCCGTCACCATCACCTATCGCTCAAAATTTCGGCTGGAAACCGCAAGACTCTCGAGGTGCTAAAAACCGTCCATTCCGTCTGGATCGATCGTTGTGATCGGCCGATCGAGATCCCATCGATTTTGTCACATCACAGTCACTTTCACCTCGAGATCTGATCGTTTCTTGGGAACCACGCCCCCCTTGGCAGCCTTTCTGTTGCAAGGCTCTGAACAGGAATCAGAGTGAGGTGAAAACAGGAGCCAGTCAGAAATCAGGATCAGGATTCACCTCACAGGACATCACTGGCTCTCCAGTGAAGCAGTGACTCCCAGAGGAATCAACTTCACATAGCATTTCAGATTCGATTCATTTTTGCCTGGTCGCTGCTACTTTTTTCCTCCCAGCAACCTGGTTAGCTTGCTCTCTGATCACTTGTTGCTTATCTCCAGCGCACCTCAGCTTCCCGCCATGGAGGCTGCCACCATGTCCAGCGCCAGACTCCTAAACGTGGTGCGATAGTCTTGAATCGATCGGTTGATTATTCGTAGTTTGATCGCCGATGTACAGATTGAAATGACAAACACATGCCGTGTGTGAACCGTCCGAAGTTATCCTTCCGTATATTAGACGATAATCTTCCACCCTTGAACGCTATCAAAGCGAGATATATTTGGCAAAACTGATTTCATCCATTAGCACATGCATAATTCACCATCAGCACGCTCAGTTCATCATGCTATAAGACATGCATATTTTCATCAGCATCAGTCCGTATCATCATCCTTAGGACACGCATATTGCATCGTTTTCATTCCGTATCGTCATCCATTTGGGCATGCACATTTCATTCTTAGCAGTCATGACTGATCATCGACCACCTCCCTCATCAACCACCTTCCATCCCAATCATCGATTCACCAGGCCGCATCCGGCGTCAGCGCGGTCTCTAAGCGCGCGACGGTGTCGGCGTCGGCAACGCCGTCGTGCACGGCGCGCGACCCGTTCACCGCCTCCGCGCCCATCGCGAGCGTCTCCTCCTCGCTCGCCGGCACCTCCCTCCGCCGCCACGCCGCCGCGCAGTCCCTCTCCGCTTCCCCCAAGGCCGCCGCCGGAAAGTCCCGCGGAGGCGCGCTGGGCGCCACGTGTCAAGAGAAGATCCTGGTGGCGAATCGCGGCGAGATCGCGGTGCGCGTGATCCGGTCGGCGCACGAGCTGGGCATCCCGTGCGTGGCGGTCTACTCCACCATCGACCGCAACTCGCTGCACGTCGAGCTCGCCGACGAGGCCGTCTGCATCGGCGAGGCTCCCTCCGCGCAGTCGTGAGTTCCGCCGCCTCTCTCCCCTCCGCGCAGTCGTGAGTTCCGCCGACTCTCTCCTATCCGCGCAGTCTGAATCTCCGCGCCTCTCTCTTTCCGCTACCAGGCGTGGCTGTCTCGCCATTGGTTGCGTCCTCCATTTCAACACCACCCCATCTGCATCCGCATCGGTCCCACACCCATGCTCATGCGCCGCACCTTCCGCGCGCCCCTTTGTCCACGCGCGCTTCCCGCGATGCCCCCCCGCGCGCGCAGGTACCTGAACATTCCGAACCTGGTGGCGGCGGCGGTGAGCACGGGGTGCACGATGGTGCATCCGGGGTACGGCTTCCTGGCCGAGAACGCCACGTTCGTCGAGATCTGCACCGACCACGGCCTCAACTTCATCGGCCCCAAGGTACGGTGCCTCGCGGTGCCGTGCGGTAGCGCGGGGTGAATTGCGGCGGGAAAAGGGTGGTGGGGTGATGGGGCCGGAAGCTGCGGGGGCCGTGGATTCATGCAGGGCCGAGGTAACACGATTTCAGATAGCATGGCTGCTGCGAGACCTTGATGAGAGGGGTTTAAGGCGGAGCATGGCGTCCAATCAGTCAAAACCGCCTGTCCTCCACCGGCTCCTTGGTCTCTCCGCCACCTCCCTCTTCCACTCCGTAATACTCTCTCCTTTCTTCTCCTGTCCTCTCCTTTCCTCTCCTTTCCTCTCCTGTCCTTTCTTGCCATGCGACTGCAATGCGACTGCTGCGTGTGTCGCAGCCCAACAGCATCCGCCTGATGGGCGACAAGGCGACGGCGCGCGAGACCATGCGACGAGCCAACGTGCCAACCGTGCCCGGCAGTGAAGGGCTGATCGACGTGAGTGCGACGGTTGATGTCCACGTGCTCACATGCACTCTCTCTCACCCGCACACTCGCACGCACTCTCGCACAATCTTTCTCACTCACGCTGACGAGCGCGCACTCTTACGAGTTAGAAGCTCGGCTATGCATGCACTCCCTCATTCATCCCTCTTCCCCCGCTTTCTTGGCTCTCATCCCCATCCCCCTCCTCCGCCCACGTCCCCCCATCCGCGCACCCCTCTCCCCCCGTTGGCGCAGACGGTGGAGGAGGCGTTGTCGGTGGCGGACGGCATGGGGTACCCGGTGATGATCAAGGCCACGGCGGGCGGCGGAGGCCGCGGCATGCGCCTCGTGCTGCAGCGGGAGGACTTCGTCAAGCTCTACCAGGTGCGCTGGGCTGCACTGCATGCCATGGCGATGCGTTTATTATATAGAATACAAGTGTGTTAATGCTTTTGTCACGCGTTCGTATGATTTTCTTGCAAGAAAACAAAACCTGTACCTGAAGGATTTGAATATATTTACACAAGTTGTTGATACGTCTACCTTAGGGAAGTCTTACATTGCTTGCCCTTCTTCCCCTGCCCCCCTCCCCCTTTCTCCCCGCCCCTTTTCCCCCTGTCTGCCTACTTGGCGAGAGCAGCAAGCGCGGCAGGAGGCGGGGGCGGCGTTCGGCAACGACGGCGTGTACCTGGAGAAGGCCATCGTGCGCCCGCGCCACGTCGAGTTCCAGGTGCGGGTGATGTGCGCTACTGGGGGAAGGTGCAGCGGGGCGGACAAGTGGTTGTGTGTCTTTTGATTTGAGTCACCTCAAACGACGGGGTGTACCTGGAGAAGGCCATCGTGCGCCCGCGCCACGTCGAGTTCCAGGTGAGCGCCACGTGGAGTTCCAGGTGAGGGTCGAGCGAGAAGGACCAGGTGAGGGATGAACTGCGGTACTGCGGGGTGGGCGGGTCGGAGAAGTGGTTGTGTGGCTTTTGAGTCGACTCAAACGAAACGACGGGGTGTACCTGGAGAAGGCCATCGTGCGCCCGCGCCACGTGGAGTTTCAGGTGAGCGCCACGTGGAGTAATGGCACTGCCGTCTTACATCCCTCTGCTACCCTATACTCTACTATTTACTCGCTTATTTTACTCGTCCGCTCGTGCCCTGCCCTCCCCACACCCGCTCATCTCGTCTGCGCCTCTGCAACCTTTCCCCGTACGCCCCTTGGTGTTGGCGGATAGGCACGCCGCCCACCTCATCCGCGAGCTTGCATTTCACATGCTCTCTTGCCGCCCTTTGTCGCTCATTCCCATCCCCCCTTCCCATCCCCCCTTCCCCCCGCCCCTCCCCCCCCCCTCCCCCCGCTTTCGCCCCTCCCCGCGCCACCAGGTGCTGGCGGACAAGTACGGCAACGCCATCCACCTGTTCGAGCGCGACTGCTCCATCCAGGTACGCCCTCTCCCCCGCCCGCACCATGACATGGCATGGCATGGCATGGCATGGCATGGCATGGCTCCAAAGGTTCACGGGTCCGTGTGGGGGCCTGAGGGCATGAGATGTTGAAGCCTAAAAGTGAGGGGGGGGGTGAGAGGCACGCGCATGCAGTGTGGCATGCAAGCGCTGATGGCGTGCAGGCACAGTGACGGCCCCAGGGAATGCTGTGCGATGGTGTTCACTGTCTAGTCTAGTCAGTCACTGCCATCTCTCACTCCTTATGTGCCCATTCCAACATCCTTCCTCGTCCCTTTCCTCCCAACTCTTCCCATACCCATCACCTCCCTTCTCCGCCTTCCCCACTCTCCCCATCCCTCATTCTGACCCGCCCCTTTCCCCCCTGTCCCCCTCTCCCCCTGCCCTTCCCTTTCCCTCCACCCTCCCCTCCCCCCACCACAGAGGCGCAACCAGAAGCTGGTGGAAGAGGGCCCATCCCCGCGCTGACGCTCACCCTCCCCTCCCCTTGTCCCTCCCTCATCCTGCCTTCCTCTCTCTTCCCCGTCACCCTATCTCCTCCGCGGCCCTCTCACAGAGGCGCAACCAGAAGCTGGTGGAGCAGGGGCCCTCCCCCGCCCTCACCCCCGCGATCCGCCAGGCGATGGGCGACGCGGCGGTGGCGGCGGCGAAGAGCATAGGGTATGTGGGCGTGGGCACCGTGGAGTTCCCCATTCTCACCCCGCCCTCCTCTGCCCCTGCCCCCCTATCACCCTGCCTTCCTCTCCCTGCCCCTCCCCTTCTCTCCTCCTCTCTCTTCCCCCCTCCTCCTTCCAAAAACACCCCTCCCCCCACTACAGAGGCGCAACCAGAAGCTGGTAGAGGAGGGGCCCTCCCCCGCCCTCACCCCCGCCATCCGCAAGGCGATGGGCGACGCGGCGGTGGCGGCGGCCAAGAGCATTGGGTATGTGGGCGTGGGCACGGTGGAGGTCCCCATTCTCACCCCGCCCTCCTCCGCCCCTGCCCCCCTATCACCCTGCCTTCCTCTCCCTGCCCCTCCCCTTCTCTCCTCCTCTCTCTTCCCCCCTCCTCCCAAAAACACCCCTCCCCCCACTGCAGCGGCGCAATCAGAAGCTGGTAGAGGAGGGCCCGTCCCCTGCGCTGACCCCCGCCATCCGCCAGGCGATGGGCGACGCGGCGGTGGCGGCGGCCAAGAGCATTGGGTATGTGGGCGTGGGCACGGTGGAGTTCCTGCTGGCTGAGACGGGCGAGTTCTACTTCATGGAGATGAACACCCGTATTCAGGTGAGATGAGGGGAGGGGGATGTAGGTGAATTGTATGCCCGCATCCTTGTAAGAGCAGGGATAGGAGCAGGCAGGTTGAGGGGTGATTACGAATCTTATCCAAGGGAAGAGCATTGGGTATGTGGGCGTGGGCACGGTGGAGTTCCTGCTGGCTGAGACGGGCGAATTCTACTTCATGGAGATGAACACTCGTATTCAGGTGAGCGCAGGGTCAGGGCAGCCAGGTCGGATAACAAATTTAGGCGAAGAGTAGACCACAAAGGGTCCAGATGAGAAGAAAGACGAACATATCCAGCTGAGAGATGAGCATGATGATCTAGAAAGGGAGAACACGGGCGCTTGCAAGAGACAAGATATGGTGACGGAGCACTCAATCAGGTGCCCTGAACCGATGGACCAGCGGATGCTCCGGAAAAGCTTTGCAAATGCCCGGTTTTCAAGAGTCGTGAGAACCATCGAATGCATTCCATATTCACATTCAATAACTGGGACCGACTCTCTTCATCTCCCATGCCATAACATATGGAGCTGCCTGCAGACCCCTCACAACTGCGTGCCTATGCTGCCCTCCCACCCCCACCTTCCCCCTCTCCCCCATTCACGCGCAGGTGGAGCACCCGGTGACAGAGATGATCACCTCAATGTACCTGATAGAGGAGCACATCCACGTGGCCATGCCTCCTCACCCCCCTCCCCACCTTCTAATCCCTCCCACTGCTCCTTTCCCTCATCTCCCCCCCACCTGGCACAGGTGGAGCACCCGGTGACGGAGATGATAACCTCGGTGGATCTGATAGAGGAGCAGATCCGAGTGGCGATGGGGGAGAAGCTGCGCTACAAGCAGGAGGACATTACCGTGCGCTGCCCTCCCAATCCCTCTCTCTTCCCCTCCCCGCACACACAGGTGGAGCACCCGGTGACGGAGATGATCACCTCGGTGGATCTGATAGAGGAGCAGATCCGAGTGGCGATGGGCGAGAAGCTGCGCTACAAGCAGGAGGACATCACGGTGCGCGGGCACGCCATCGAGTGCCGCATCAACGCCGAGGACCCCTTCCAGAACTTCCGCCCTGGGCCTGGACGCATCACCGCGTACCTGCCGCCCGGGGGGCCGTTTGTGCGCATGGACAGCCACATCTACAATGACTACCTCGTGCCGCCGTCGTACGACTCGCTTCTTGGCAAGGTGGGTTGTTGACCCGCGTTGACTCGCGTTGACTCGCTTGACTCGCTGTTGGGCAAGGTGCTGGCCTCCATTTGGCTGTTGCTATGCTGCTCATTCCCCCTCCCGCTGATTGTTTCCTCCCTCTCCTCATCTCTCCCCTTCTCGCCTTCCTTCACCTTCCTGTTCCCTGTGTTGATCCACCCATGCGTGGAGAGCAGCTCATTGTATGGGCGCCCACGCGTGAGAGGGCCATTGAGAGGATGAAGAGAGCACTGCACGACACCATCATCTCCGGTATGCCTACTGCTCCCCTTGCCCCCATCTCTGCTACCACCTGCCTTCACCATCCTCAGCCCCATTCCCCCACCATCACAACTCTGCACCCCCCCAACCTGCCTGCCCCTTGCTCTTTCCATGTATCCCGCATCCACCACCCACCTCCTCTCCCTCCGTCACACCATCTCTCCTCCCCGGTGTGCTGCCCGTCTGTCCCATCTCCAGGCGTGCTGACGACCATCGACTTCCACAAGTTTCATATTGGAGTTCAAGGAGGGGAAGGTGGACACCCCTTCCCCTTCTCGCCTCCCTCACACCCTCCCGTCTCCCACTCTCTGCTGCCTGTGTATCCCACCCCTCTCAGGAGTGCCCACTACAATTGATTTCCACAAGCTGATATTAAACGTGCCGGAGTTCAAGGAGGGCAAGGTGGACACCCCCACTCTCTTCAGCCTCCCTCACGCCTTCTCTTCTCCCCCATGTGTATCCCCATCCTTTACCAGGCGTGCCCACGACCATCGACTTCCACAAGCTCATATTGGACGTGCCCGAGTTCAAGGACGGCAAGGTGGACACCAGCTTCATCGCCAAGCACGAGGAGGAGCTCTCTGTTGTGAGTGCCCTATCATACCCTGCTCCACCTTACCGCACCCTCTTCAAGGAGGGCAAGGTGGACACCAGCTTCATTGCCAAGCACGAGGAGGAGCTCTCTGTTGTGAGTGCCCTATCATACCCTGCTCCACCTTACCGCACCCTCTTCAAGGAGGGCAAGGTGGACACCAGCTTCATTGCCAAGCACGAGGAGGAGCTCTCTGTTGTGAGTGCCCTATCATACCCTGCTCCACCTTACCGCACCCTCTTCAAGGAGGGCAAGGTGGACACCAGCTTCATTGCCAAGCACGAGGAGGAGCTCTCTGTTGTGAGTGCCCTATCATACCCTGCTCCACCTTACCGCACCCTCTTCAAGGAGGGCAAGGTGGACACCAGCTTCATTGCCAAGCACGAGGAGGAGCTCTCTGTTGTGAGTGCCCTATCATACCCTGCTCCACCTTACCGCACCCTCTTCAAGGAGGGCAAGGTGGACACCAGCTTCATTGCCAAGCACGAGGAGGAGCTCTCTGTTGTGAGTGCCCTATCGCACGCGGCCCTCTACCCTCTCCCTCCCTGCACTGCCTTCCCCTGCCCTCCTCTTCCCTGTCCCACCCTGCCCTGCCTTTCCTGCCCGTTCCTGTTGCCATGCCACTTTGTCAGTGCCCCCTCCCTCCCAACACATCTCCGCCCACCCTTTCCCTACCCCTCCCCCCCCCCCCCCCCACAGCTGCCCACGGGCAAGAAGGTGCAGCTGGGCTCAAAGAGCAAGCTCAAGGCTCTTCTCTTGCCTAGGCAGCACACTACTCCCTTGGCTTTGCCTTGCTCTCTCTCTCTCTCAACACATCTTTGCCCACCTGTCCCCACCACCCCCCCCTTCCCTACAGCTGCCCACGGGCAAGAAGGTGCAGCTGGGCTCAAAGAGCAAGCCCAAGGCTCTTCTCTTGCCTAGGCAGCACACCACTCCCTTGGCTTTGCCTTGCTCTCTCTCTCTCTCAACACATCTTTGCCCACCTGTCCCCACCAACCCCCCCTTCCCTACAGCCGCCCACGGGCAAGAAGGTGCAGCTGGGCTCAAAGAGCAAGCCCAAGGCTCTTGCCTAGGCACCACCCACCCCCTTGGCTTTGCCGCGCACTGGCCTTGCCAGGCCCGATGCAAACAAACAAGCAACTGCTATGCCTCCCTGTGCTTGCTGTAGGTGCTCTTGATTACATCTGCTCTTCATGAACTGCTGTTTTGACTATCTTAGGATGAACAGTGTGATCCAGTATGCTACGGCACACGTAGCTCTCAAATACAATAAAGGTGGAACAACAGAATCATCGTGTACGTAGGGTGGAGGTTACCTTCGAGTTTGTTAGCATGTCTTGGAATCTAACCAAGTGGTACTCTAGGCTTATTGTTGAGCATTCAAACACGGGTGTAAAAGAAAAAGCGTGGTACTCCATCCAAACCATCTATGAATGCTAGACAAATTAAAACATAACACATACGACACACCCTGTAGATATCACAAACTACAGTCACAGGAGTGAAGCGGGCCGCTACGTGCATACTCCTGGAGGGAGAAGAGCCAAAGGGAGAGACAGAACGAGTGCAGAGAAGGGGATGAGATGAGAACGAATGAGGGTGAGAAGCAGAGGCAGGGAGAGGATGTGATGGGAAGAGTACAGCTCGGTGACAGCTGAAGCAACAGCGGTGGGGATGAGGACAGTGCACTCGATGCTCTTGCTGACCACGCCAGCATCTCACATGCCCAAGGAGCAGTGCAGACATGGAGCTGCCCTAAGGTTCAACCAAGAATGCCTTTAAAGCCCTCTGCACTCACGAGTCACTCACGACTCACCTCCAGTGCTGCTCATGGAGTCCTCTTGAGCTTGCTCTGCTGTGCCCCTCCCCCACGCCCCACCCTGCCCGCGCCCCCCAGTGCGCTCCTCTGCGCGCCTCTCTGTGGACCGCCCCACGGCCCACAGCCGCCGTGAGGGGGACGACGCCCGCCCGCTGCTGCCCTGCCTGCCCTGACTGCTGCGCCGCACACCCGCTGCCGCCGCTGCTGCCTGTGGGATTGCAGCACCTGACTGTGTGCCCCTGTGCTGCTGCTGCTGCTGCTGCTGCTGCTGTGGGTTCTGCTGCCGTGAGTGGTGGGGTTGGCTGGGGTGGGATGGGGAGCGGCGGGAGGGGGAGAGGAAGCGAGAGAGCAAGCCCAGGGCCGGGCTCGACCCGCCACTGGCACTGCGCGGGCTGCTGCTGCTGTGCGGGTGGCGGGGCGAGTGCAGGAGAGCAGGGAGGGCGTGCGAGTCAGAGGAAGCAGAGGTGGATGAGAGAGTGCGACCGGGGACACGCATGTCCCTCCCCACTGCCCTTCCCTGCTCCATGCCCCCTTGCCACACACCACCCTCAGGTGCAGTGCTCTGCTGCGCTTCTGCTGTCTCTCCCCCGTGCTGCGAGGTCCTCTCCCTGACCAGCACGCGCACGGGCAGCAGCGACTGCAGGTGCCGCTCCCCTGGGTCCACCGCCATCAGCCCTGGTCGTGCGCGCGCTCTGCCTGCTGCTAACGATGATGCTGCTGCTGCCGCTGCAGGAGCTGCTGCTGGTTTCTTGAGCTCCCTGGCAGGTCCTTCCGGCACATTGCCACTCCTCTCTCGCAGCACACCTGCCCACCGCTCCCCACCACCACCGCCACTCCCCTCCTCCACGCCCCTCCCCACTCGCCTCACATCCCTCCCTTCACTCCCGCCGCCCTGCCACCCTGCCTGCCGCCCATCCGCCCGGCTGCCAGCACCGAACTGCCTGTGAGCCGCACCAGCACCCGCACTCCCCTCCTCCACGTCCCTCCACACCCCATCCGCGCGGCTGCCAGCACCGAACTGCCTGTGAGCTGCGCTAACAAAGCCCCTGGCAGCAGCAGCTGCGGCGTGTGTCAAGCGAGCGGGAATGGCAGCACTAAATCCAGCACCGCCGCTGCCATCACTGCCACTCCTCTCACTGCCACTCCTCTCACTGCCACTCCTCTCACTGCCACTCCTCTCACTGCCACTCCTCTCACTGCCACTCCTCTCACTGCCACTCCTCTCACTGCCACCCTCCTGTATGCCTGCAAGCCCCCCCCCTCTGTCCTCTGCGCCCTGGCCTCCCTCCACGCATGCACCACCCCCTCCCTGCTCCGCCCCCTTTGCCAATCCACAACTGATCCCACCCGCCCCTCTCCCACCACCAGCACCAGCGCCAGCAGCAGCAGCGGTGGCAGGGGCGGGGGCGAGGAGGGTGGAGGAGGTGGCGCGCAGGGCGGACACGCGCGAGCGCAGGGCCGCCACACGCTGCTTCAGCGCCGAGGGGGGCTCCTCTCCCCCCCCCGCCCCCGCCCCCGCCCCCGCCCCCGCCCCTGCCCGCCCGCCCTCTGCCCCCTGTGCCTGTGCCCCTTTCCCTCCTGTGGAGTCCCGTGCCCATCCACTGCTCACACCACCAAAAAGAGCGCCAGCAGCAGCAGCTGCACCACCAGCACGAGCACCTAGAGAACTAGCGGGAGCAGCGCCAGGTTTCCCTTGACGCCCCTCGCAGGCAGCACGAGCTGCTGGCCCGCTGCCTGCCATTCCACTGCTCGCACCTGCTCCGGCTGCTTGTCTTGCCACTGCTGCTGCGCCACCTCGGTTTGACCCGCTCCTAGTGTCGCTTCCGCTTCCCCCACTGCTCTCCCCGTTGCCCTCTCCCGCGCTCCCACCCATCCGCGTCTGCAGCAGTGACTGCCGCACCTGCTGTGAGTCCACCTCATCCTCCACGTCATCCGCCACGTCATCATCCGCGGTGCAGCACACGCCATACGAGCGAGCCTCTGCCCCTGCCCCTGCACGTGACACAGGGCGCAGCACCCATCCCTGCTCTGTGCACTGCTCCTCCCACTCCTCGTCCACCCCGCTCATTCCACTCATGCCACTCGCGCCGCTCGTACCGCTCGGCTCGCTCGCACCACTCGCCGCACGCGCGCCTCTCACCTCCTCCGCCTCTCCGCGCGCCCCCTCCCCCGGCGCCACCTCTTCCAGCACTACCGCGCGCGGCTGCTCCGCCACCCACGCCTCTGGGCCCCCATGCTGCGCCCCGCGCTGCACCATGCCCCGCACAGCACCCTCTCCCTCTCCGCCCATTCGCTCTCCGCCCTCCCCGTGCTGCGCGCGAGCCTCCCCCTCTCCTCTCAGCTCAACTGCGACCGCCTCCTCTCCGCCTCCCCCTGCCCCAACTTGCGCCCCCTCGCGCTCGTCTCTTGCCCTCAGGGAATACCTCGTACCCCGCCGCGCTTCTTCCGCGCTCTCTCCCCCGCGCTTTCCCCCTGCCGCCAAAGCTCCCGCAGCCCGCCCCATCACGTGCTGCAGCGCGCTTCTCGCGCCGCCCCCGTCCCCCGCCCCTCGGCTTGCGCCCGCTTCCGCTTCCGCTTCCGCTTTCGACGACGAGAGACTGCGGCGGACGCGCATGGGAGAGAAGGTTCGGCGAAGCAGCACGCCCGAGTCCACGGCTGCTGCGGCCTTCGCGCCCTGCGCATCGCCGTCGTTCCGCGTCCCCGCGCCCCCCTTACCGCCCGCCGACCGTGCGGCCTGCCAAAACTTGTTGCCGCCGCTGCTGGCTGGCCGGTAGAGCGTATGGTGCGGAGGTTGCGGCTGGAGTTGCGGTTGCGGTTGCTCCGCAGTGATGTACGGGGATGCGCGGCGGGCGGGGGAAGCTCCGCTGCCGCAGTCGGACTCAGAGTCGGAGGGGGAGGCGGAGAGCGCGCGAGCCACGGCCGAATTGCCGCTGGTGGCGGGGGAGCGCGCGGCACTGTTGCCGCCGCCGCGGCTGTCGTGCTCCCGCGCTGCTCCGTGACTGGCGCCGGGGGCGGGCAGGGCGACCGCGGGCGCAGGAGCGGGAGGGGCGCGAGTAGGGGGCGCACGGGTGGGGGGAGCATGGGGTGCAGTGGCGGAGGGCGGAAGTGGCGGAGAGACCAATGCTGCGCCCGTGATACTACCGCTTCCGCCGCTCACATCCGCCCACCTTACCTCACACCCCTCGTCATCCACACCTGCCGGTTCCCTGGCATCGCTTCCCCTCGCCTCACTCCACGCACTCCCTCCCGTGCCTTCCGCGCCAGTCGCCTTCCCCATGCCATCCATTTCCGCCCACTCCTCTCCCCGCTGCGGCCCTCCGCGCGCCCCCTTGAGCGCGGGCCTGGCGGCTTCAAGCAGCGCCACGGCGCGCTCGAGATCCGCGCCGAGCGAAGACACTGCGGAGGGGGGACGACGGGTTGGGGGAAGCGGCGTCGGGTGAAGTATGCGTGAGAGTGGTTGAGTTGTTGAATGAGAGGCATGGAGAGCGAGGAAGGGCAGGTGAGAGCAGAGCAGACGGCAGCGAAGTCCCCTTTACATTGGAAACATCACACGCATCGCCGCGCGGGCGCGCGCAGTGCACGGAGCAGGCGAGGGCGCGCAGAGCAGCGGAGGGCGCGCAGAGCAGCGGAGGGCGCGCAGAGCAGCGGAGGGCGCGCAGAGCAGCGGAGGGCGCGCAGAGCAGCGGAGGGCGCGCAGAGCAGCGGAGGGCGCGCGTACCTTGGTCGTTGAGCTGGTCGATGGTGTCGCGCTGCTCGTCCGCCTCCGCGCGCATGCGCGCGCTCTCCTCCTCCCACCGCTGCCGGCGCTCCTCCATCGCCCCCTCCGCCTCTCGCCTCGCCGCTTCCTCCTCGCCCACTCGCCGCTGCAGCTGCTTCACCTGCAACGCACAGCAACACGTGAGCACACGGCACCAGACGGCAACACCCTGTCAGCACACAATCGCAAACACAGCGTACTTGTGCGAGTAACATGACCCATCGTTCCCACACCCCTCACACCCACTCGCTCCCACTTCCCCTCACCCCCTCCTTACTCCCCTCACTCGCCCTCACGCCCCGTCATCCGCCCCCACTCGCCTGGTGGTGCAGCAGCGGCGCGGCGGCGGCGGCGGCCTCCACGTGGCGCCACGCGGAGAGCGTCTTGGCGAGGAGGCCGAAGAGCGCCACGTCCAGCACGCGCGCGGGGCTGGCGCAGCTGCGCAGCAGCACTCCGCCCTCCACCACGCCCTCCCTCCCCCAGCTCCACCCGCCCGCGCTCTCCGCACTCCCGTCGCCCGCCTCCCCTGCTTCCGCCACCCCCTCCCCCACGGAGTCGGCGGGCAGAACCTCCCAGGTCTCCGCGTCGCCCACGGACCTGCGCGCGCACGCGGCGCACACGGCGAGCAGCGGGGAGGCAGGCAGGGAGTGAAACATGAGGTTTGACGCGCTGTGCGACGCATGATACACGTCGACCTCCGCTCTACAAACATGGAATTCACAATTCCCCGCCTCACCCCGTCACCCCCCTTCCGCCCCCCCTCCACTCGCCAGCCCCTCCAGGCCCCCCAAAAATCCCCTCACGCGGTGCTCACCAGGTGCGGAACGAGTCGCGCTCGCCGGGCAGCAGCGCGGCGGAGAGGCAGCGCCCGTCGGCGGCGAGGGAGCGCAGCGCGATGCGCGCGGGCGCGACGACGAGCAGCACGAACAGGCAGTCCAGCGGCCAGCGCCCCAGCCCGCCCGTCAGCGACGCGCTCACGGCCAGCGACGCGGCGTGCGCGGAGCGGCGGAGCGGATCGGCGGCTGAAGCCGCGAGGGCGTTGGAGCTGCCGTCAGCGTTTGAGGGCGTCGGCGTGCCCAGCTCCCACCTGCCGGCCAGCCGTCAGTGGATGGCACGGGGAAAACGGGAGGGCGGAAAAAGGGGAAAACGACGATTAGATCGGATGAGTTGGAAAAGCGGCCGTGCCTGCAAGTGCTGTCACTCGGCTTCGTAGGCGTCAGTAAGCAGAGTGCACGCGCGTTCGTCTGTCCCACGCGGCACGGGTTATCGTCTGGCGGGCGTACCTTCCTTGATAGCGCACGGCCGCGAGTCGCGAGGAGCCGGCCAGCAGACACACGAGCGACCCGTGCTGCAGCACCGACAGCGGCAGCCGCGTCACCGCGGGCGCTCCGAATGTGGCGGTAGAAGCGGCGGCGGAGCCAAAGTGCGGCAGGGAAGCGGAGGAGGCAAGGAGCGGGGCGGAGACGGGCACGCCAAACACGAGCCCGCCTCGCGGGGCATCGGTGGCGCTCGGCAAGGCGTTATGGAGAGCGGGGGCAGACGCAGGCGAGGCGTGGGAGATGGGAGGAACGAGGCGATGTTGTGAGAGGGCGGCTTCGCTGGTCCCATGAGTCGATTCGTGCAAATGATCATCGGCGCTGGCGCGCGCGCGGCGGCCGTGCGCGGCTTCGCCGTCGTCGCCGTCGTCGTGGTCGTCGCGGTCGTGGTCGTCGTGCGCGAGGCCCAGCGCGCGCTTGCCCGGGTCCATGAAGCTGCACTGCAGCATGTCGTCCGTCAGTAACCCCGCCAACCGCACCGCCGGTGGCACATGAGGCGGCGCCTCGCTCGCGTTCTCAACCTCACCCTCGCCCTCAATCTCACCCTCCCCCTCGCACACTCCCGCCGCTCTCTCTCCCGCTGCCTGACTCTCCCAGTGCTCAGCGTCGGCGCGAGCAGGCACGTCGTGCGGCAGCACGGGGTGGCCCATCACCAGGATGCCAATATCACGCCCCGCGCCCTCCGGCCCCTCTGTCTCCAGCCGCTCGTCTCGCGCGCCCCACTCCCCGCCCACGGCGTCCCCCAACCCGTCGTGCAGGAAGTCTGTCGCTTTGCCTCCTGCCTCACGCCCTTCAACCCCCACCAAATAATCGTTTGTCGCCTCTCTTTCTTTCCTCTCGCGTCCCTCCTGCCTCCTCCGCGCGCCCTCGATTCTACTTTCGCATTCGCTGTCGGACGAGCTGTCCGAACTCGCCGCTGCCTTGGCGTCCGCGCGACGCTCAGCTGCGCTTCGTCGCTGCGGCCAACGCGTCCGCGCCTCGCGCGTGCTACCTAGTTGGATCGAACGGTTCCGATCCGCGTTCGCTGATCGATGGCGCGCTATTCTTTCTAGCGAGTGATCGCGCGCCGCCGCCCTGGCTTCCTTGTCCTGCTGTCGAGCACGTGCCTCCCTGCTCACCCTTCTCGCCTCGAGAGACTTTCGCCGTGGGATCTGTTTTATTTGCTCCGCCGCCCCCACGCGCTCCTCGCTCGCCGCGTCCGCCTGAAGCAGCTGGTGAAACGACCAGGGAACATTTCTGCTCTCGCTCCTCTGCTGCTTCCGCGCAACCACCCCCGATGATTGCCGCCTCGTCTCCTGCGCTACCAAGCCGGCGGACTCCTCCTGCGCGCGCGGGGATGGCAGCGGCAGCCACACGGCGCTTGACCGCCCCACCGGCTGCAACGCTTCTGCCTCCCCAACGTCCATGTCGAGGTCTACCGACTGAGCGGACGGCTGGCCGTCTGAGCTGCGAGACGGAGACGCCGGCAGGAGGCCGGGCGGCGTGACGTCGACAGGCGGGCTGCCTTTGCGCATGAGCCACGACGCCGCCTTCGCGAGGGATGGCGATGGCGCGGCTGGCTCTGCTGATGCGTTCCATTCTGCTGCCTGCGCGTCCGCTTTGAGATTGCAGTAACGGCTCTCCTCGTCCGAGGCGCACATCGCGCCGTCTCTTTCTCGCTGCGGAGTCTCGTAATACCCCGATCGCGAATCGAATGAAACGCCATATCCGTCGTATCTACCTGTCTTATATGCTCCTGTCATTGCGTACAAATCTGTAGAAACATCGAGCAACAAAAGCAAGCTAGCAAACCCGATCTACTGAGACAAACCTGAGTGAAAGTGGAAACAAGCCTAGTGGTGGCCTTTTGAGTTCGTGGAGCCTTGGAAACAGAACGGGGGGAAGAACGATGTCTGACTGAATTCTGAAATTTTCCTCGCCTCGACATTGCCGTGTCAGGTCGCTTTCTGCCATTGCCCCTTCCATGCGGCTCGGTGACAACATTCAGGATTTGACGATCTGATGCAGGGCAAGCCCAGGGAGACCCCTCGAGTACTGACCGCGTCGCGCTTTTGTGCACGAGGGGTAAAATTTCCCGCGCATCGTCGAGAACTGTGCGGAGTACACATTGGGAACCAGTGAAAGATATATTTAGATAAGAAAGTAACAATACAAGACTGCTTAAAGAATGAAGAAGATTTGCCTGCTTGCAAATGCTTCATTCAACTGCAAGGTGATGGGGGACCCTACACAAAACACATGGATTCTGAACCATTCTACACAGAGGCCAATAATTAGTTTGTTTGTGGAGTGAACATGCCATTCCCTCGCTTAGTTTTGAGCCTGTACGGGAAGGGAGGAGCACGAGGATATGGTGCATGTCAAGAGAGAAGCAGGTGCCAGCTGCATCTGGAGCATGCACCTTTCAACAAAGGTCATCCATGTTGAGGGTAAGTAGAAACGAATTATGCAAAGAGAGATTGCTTGCATGGAGGATGGGCATGTGGCAGCAGAGCAGCACGGCGGGATGTGGGTGACTCACGAGGGGGCGAGGGGCCCCAGGTTGGCAACAAGGGCACCCGAGGCAGCATCGAGCACGCGGCCGTCTTGGTCCAGCAGGTACGCGCGGTGGGGCACCGCCGGCACGCCGCGGCGCACGAGGGGGTCGAGGTCACGGCGCTGCAGCTCCCTGCCGTTCACCACCACCCCCGTCCTGCCGCCCGAACAGTCGCGCTGCATGGGCTCTGGGAACTGCGGCAGGCGTGCCTGCATGCACACACATGGCTTACAGGGATGATGTGAGGAGGGAGCAAGCATGGCTTACAGGGATGATGTGAGGAGGGAGCAAGCATGGCTTACAGGGATGATGTGAGGAGGGAGCAAGCATGGCTTACAGGGATGATGTGAGGAGGGAGCAAGCATGGCTTACAGGGATGATGTGAGGAGGGAGCAAGCATGGCTTACAGGGATGATGCGGAGACAGGGGCCGCCCACCACCCCCCAGAAGCCAGCTCTGTGGTCGTACCTGGGAGGAGAGGAGAGGGGGAGGGGAGAGTGGTGGGTGGCATGAGAGCAGCAGCACTCCAAAGTGTGGCTCCATACACGGTGCATGGCGAATGGTGCAAGGCGGAAGCAGGGCTCTGATGCAGCAAGGCAGCAGGTGAGAAGCAGCGCATGAGCGAAGCAGCACTCCAAGGTGTAGCTCAATGCATGGTGCACGGTGCAAGGCGGAAGCAAGGATGTGGCGCAGCATAGCAGCATGAGGGGGGGAAGGCGTGTGGGGGTGGTACCAGTAGTGGCCGGGGTCAATGGGACCGGCAGTGAGCTCAGCCTGAGCCACGAGGCCATCAGCAACGGGACTGCCATTCACCACCACGCCCCGCCCATATGCCCCCCTCTCCTCCCAATACGCCTCTCCCCCACCCCCACCCCCACTCCCACCCCCACCCCCACTCCCACCCCCACCCCCACTCCCACCCCCACCCCCCCCCCACCCCCACCCCCACTCCCATACGACTCATGCCGCCCGCCCCGCCACTGCCCCTCCCCCTGCCCCCTCGCCCCCAACTCCTCCTCTAGCCCGCCCTGCAGCCCGCCCTGCACCCCGCCCTGCACCCCGCCCTGCACCCCGCCCTGCAGCCTGCTGCCCGCTCCTGCGGCCCCCCGCTGCTGCGCCTCCTCCCTTGGCCCCCCCGCCCGCACCCCGTTCTGCAGGCGCTTCATCACGGGGGAATCTGCCGCCCGCTCTGTCCAGTCAGCAGGAGGAGGTGTCCAGTCAGCAGGAGGAGGTGTCCAGTCAGCAGGAGGAGGTGTCCAGTCAGCAGGAGGAGGTGTCCAGTCAGCAGGAGGAGGTGTCCAGTCAGCAGGGGGCGGTGTCCAGTCAGCAGAAGGTGGAGTGGAGGAAAACGACGAGGAGGGGGCAGCGGGGGGGTGGTGGTGGGGGAGGTGAAGGGGAGAGGGCGAGGAGGAGAGGGAGGGGGAGGCAGCAGCAGCGTGGGGGTGTGTGCCCGGCGAGGAGGAGAGGGAGGAGGAGAGGGCTTTGGGGGCAGCAGCGTGGGGGAGGGCGGGGGAGGCAGCAGCAGCAGCAGCGTGGGGGTGTATGCCAGGCGAGGAGGAGGAGCGGCTCATGGGCCCTGCTGCTGCCTGCCGCTGCTGCTGCCACTCCCTCTCACTCATGCGCACCTGCTGCTGCTGCGGCGGCTGCTGTTGCTGGCAATACTGTTGCTGTTGATGCTGCTGGCTATACTGTTGCTGTTGATGCTGCTGGCTATACTGCTGCTGCTGCTGGCTATACTGAGGCTGTTGCGGGGTGAAGGCAGGAGGGCGAGCAGGTTGGGAGGGTTCCGGGGAAGCGTGGGAGGGAGAGGAGTGCAGGTGGGGGGGCAGGGAGTGGGAGGGGGGGACGGTGGAGGAGGGGAGGGCGGAGGAGGGGAGGGCGGATGAGGGGAGGGCGGATGAGGGGGGCGGGGGGATGGCGAAGGAGGAGATAGCGAGGCAGCTGCCGCACCGCAGGCGCTGCACCATCTTGTTCTTTCGGCTGCGCGGGAGATTCTGCGGCACTGCTAGCGTCTGCCCGCAGTGCTGGCACTGCAGTGCGGAACAGGGGAGGGATGAGGGGACAAGATTGGAGGAGGCACAAGGGAGTGAAGTCAAGGTGGGAGTTCAAAAGAGCCAGGAGGATGGAGCAGGAAGGTGGAGGTGGCAAGTGGAGGGGTTTGGGTGCGTTCAGAGTGCAGGCATTCATGTGCACCCATAACTACCCACCAGTACCCACCACTACCGACCACTTGCCATTCACCACTACACACCAGTGCCACCGTCTGACCTGCACGAACTGGGGGGCGTCCGGAGGGGGAAGCCACGGCAGGTCCGGTGGCACCTGGGATGATGCCTGGCGCTCATTGCTTGTGTTCCCCGCGCCTCCTCCTGTTGCTGCTCGCTCGCCCTCCATGCGCCCCGCTGCTGTATCACTCTTGACAATTCTCATATGCTGCTGCTGCTGCTGGGGCGGGGCGCTGCCCACACCATGGGCATCACTGCGGGGATCCAAGCTCTGCTCACCCGCATACGCGTCCCCTCGCCCCGCTGCTGCCACGTTGCCCGCACTGCCCCAACTCCTCGCGTCCCCACTGCCCCACCCCCCTGCCTCCCTCCCCCCCACCGTGCCCCCCTTGTCCCTGCCGCCCCCCTGCCCCGCTGCCCCCATCGCCCCACCCCCATCCAACCCCCTAGCGCTCGCGCTTCTCCTGTACACCGCGCCCGCCCCCCCCGCCTCCTCCCCCACTGCTGCCCTCGCCTCGTTTCGTGCACCTCCGCCACCCTCCCCCATGCTCCTCCTGCCACCACCCATGCCCGTCCCCATGCCCGTCCCCATGCCTTCCCCTGCCATGGGCTGCGCATGGGAGGAGGAGCGCAGGGGCGGGCCCATGTGCATGGAGTATGATTGCACCCCCATGCCCATGCCCATGCCCATGCCCCCCCACACCCCTGGGAGGACCCATGTGCATGGAATAGGACTGCAACCCCATCCCCACACCCATCCCCACGCCCATGTGTTGCGGCATGCCCCCTGTCCCCCTGCCTCTGCCCTCTGACATGGCAACAGCACCGCTGTTCCACACCTCCTGCTCCTCCACCCCCCCTCTCCTCCGCGCCACCACCCCCTGCATTCCCCACTGCTCGCCCTCCTCCTCTTCCCCCATCCCCCCGCCCACACCATTCCCCACCCCTCTCTCCCCACGCTCATCCCCCTTCCCTCCTGCCACGCTACTACCACTACCCACCCCTTCCCTGCCTCGCTCCCTCTGCACCTGTGCTGCCTTGGCGGGTTTGGGCGAGCGGGGGGCAAAGGCCTGCTGCACGTACCTAGCAGCGCCCTGCAGGGGACTCACCTGCCCCACGCCCGCCAGCCGCCACGCACTCGCCCCCTTCCCCCCCTCGCCCTTCCCCCCCCCCCCGCGCCCTCCCCCCCTGCTGCCCCTCTGAGCGGCTTCAGCTCCAGCAGCGCCTTCAGCTTTGACGCCAGTGGCCGCCTCTCCCTCAGCCCCTTCCCCCCGCTCGCCCCGCCCGCCTCCGCCCCTCCCCCTGCCCCTGCACTTCCCCCTGCGCCTGCCCCTGCAGCGGTTCTGGAGGCGGGCGCGGGGGAGGCAGGGGCGGGCACGGGGGGGGGCAGGGAGGCGGGCATGGTGTGCTGGCGGGGCAGCCACGAGGGGGCGTCCGCGGAGGCATAGGGGCTGCCCGCGCTGGCGTCCGCGCTGTGTGTTGCGCCCACCATGGGGGAGGGCGTGGGGGAGTGGCCGTGGGGGAGAGAGGGCGCAGCAGAGAGCACACGGTGGGCGGGGCAAGGCAGAGGCATGGTGCGCTGGCGGATGAGAGCGCTGCTGCTGCTGCTGCTGCTGCTGCTGCGTGCACCCATGCCATCCATGCCCATGCCCATGCCCATGCCGGCATCATCCATGGCCGCACCATCCATGCCCATGCCGTTCATGGCCATGCTGAGGTCAGGGTTCGAGTCATAAGAGTGCCTGCTGCTGCTGCTGGCGGGGACACCACGCCACTCGCCGCGCCCCACAAGCTCTCCTCCACCCCTCTCCCCCTCGTCCTCGCCCTTGAGTCGTACCAGGTACGGCCCCTCATGACTGCCCCTGACCTTCCCCCCTCCCCCACGCCCCCCGCCGCTCACACCACCCACGCCTGTTACCCCCCCTCTCCCTCTCCCGTGCTGCTCGTCCTCCTCGTCCTCCTCGCCCCGCCCTGCGCCCCGCTCCTGCTCGCCCGCTCGGCTGTGCTGTGATCGCTGCCGTGTGAGTATGTGGAGCAGCGAAGGCGATGCCCCCACGCTCGGCCCTGCTGCTGACGCACTCTCACCCCACTCGCCTGCCCTCGCGCCCATGCCCATGCCCGCGCCCATGCCTGCGCCCATGCCTCCGCCCTCCCTCTCCTGCCCGTCCGCCCCCTCGCTCGCCCCCCCAGCCTCACCGCTCTGCACCACTCTGGCGGTGGGTCGGTTCTCCTGCGGGTCCGTCAGCTGTCTCAGCAGCCCCCTACTCGGCGCGCCCATCTCCCGCCACCGCCCGCCCTCCCCCGCCGCGCCCCCTGGCATCGTCACCTGCCGCCGCAGCTCCGCCACGTCCTCCCCCTCCTCGCCTCCGCTCCCCTCTTCCCCCCCTTCCGCCCCGCCGCCCCGCTCCCGCCCCCCGCTCGCCTCCGCTGCTGCAGGCGCGCGAGGGTCTGGCGAGGCCGTGCGCAGGCCCGAGGGCGGCTGCCCCAGAGGCTGCGCGAAGCGGGAGGCGTGCGGGAAGCGCGGGGGGAGAGTGGTCTGGCGGGGGAGCGCGCCTTGCCCCGCGCGCTCGCTGTCGCTCTCCGCCCCTCCTGCTTCGCTTGGGGTTTCCGCGCGGTCGGTGCTGCCAGGGCGACTGAGGCCGGGGGAGGAGGGCGCGGGGAGGGAGAAGGGGGAGGTTGCGTGGGCGGAGTGGGCGGCGGGGAAGAGGCGCGAAGGCATGGTGCGCTGGCGAGGCACCATCGCGTGCGCGGGCGACTGCTGCGGCGACTGCTGTGGCGACTGCTGCGAATGCCTCTCTGCGTCGCCCCCCCCAGCACCCCTACCGTAGTCATGGCTGAACCTCGCCCCCTCGCCGCCCGCACCCGCTACCCCCGCGGCTTCCCGCTGCCCCTCGCCCTCTCCGCGCAGTGCTGCAGCGGATGGCGCAGCAGGAGCGCTCATGTGCGCGGAGAGGTTGGTGGAGGAGGAGGCGCGCGGCAGCGGCACGTCCACGCCCACCGGATGGCGCGGCCCCCCCACGCCCACCGCGTGCTTCGCTGACGGCGGGAGCATTAGGGCGGAAATGCGGGGGGAAGGAGTAGGGGGAAGAGCGGGAAGGAGGGGGAGAGTTGCCAGACGAAAGCGACGGAACAGGTTTGCAAGGTGAAAATGCAGTGGGAAGAACGAAAGGGAAAAGCTAACGAACTAGGGTTACGCTGCGGCTTAAACGATGCGCGCAGCGTGTGCGCATCGCAGCAGTATGACAGATGAGGGCAGCTGCTCTGCCCAGCATCGCGCGGCGAGAATTCACTTTTGTAAGCGGCGTACGGCGGGCGACGCGCAGTGCGAAGACTGACTCGGTGGATCGACTGGCGGTCAGCGACGCGCCGGTTGGAAAGGCCGAATCAGAGACACGTGGCGACACGCGAAGCGGGGAGGCGAGAGGCGGGAGAGGGGGGGGGGGAAGGTGTGTGGAGGGGAAGTGGGAAAGGGCAAGCGGGGGGCCAAGTGGCACCTTGCAGGACGGTGAGGCAGCTGCCGCACTTGTAGAAGGGGTGCCCCATGGGCGGCTCCTGCAGGATGGCGCGGCACCGCGGGCACTGCACCATGCGCGACATGCTGCTCGCTCGCTCGCGCGCTGCCGCGTCGCGCGCTACGATGGGCTTAGCGTGCACCGCCGCGATAGATGCAGCGGTCGAAACAATTCGCAATACGCAAAACAGCTTTTTTTTTTTCCTATGTATGTGTGCGAAGCGGACAGTCTTGGTCGTCGCCTGCATCATCACTGTGCGACCGTCGGGACCTCATCGCGCAACTCGACTACTAGTCAGGGTGGGGTGGGGTGGGGTGGCGGAATGGGAAAGGCAGACGGGCGAGGTTGTTCAAAAAGGTGGTTTTGTGGTTCAAAAATGTTAGCACAGTTGATGTTGTGCTTCGGTTAGGGTGGAGCCTCCGAGAAACCAATATCGGGGTTCACGAAATCAAGGCAGTGCGAAAACATTCGACTCCCCTCAATACAGTACACTCTGCGAACCAGTAGAAGTGCACGGCGATTTGCCAACGGTCTCCCCCTGCCATCGCTATTCGCCACCTGAGCGACGAGTCCCGAGAGTCCATCCATCCACACCACAAGGTTTCCTTTGTGTTCCTCCCGACCAACCAGGTTTGCTGTCTGCTTGGGAGGGGCCAGAGCACACTTGTCAGCGCCCTGTCTGTTGTCCCCCCATGCGAATAACGCACCTGCTCTCAGCTCCAGCCATCACGAGTCGTTCTACAGCCTCGCGGCAAACAAGCCGCACGTGACGCGCTACCACGGCCAGATCGTCGACGTTAATCAAAGGCGAACATTTATCGGTCGGCAGTCTCCGCGAGGCATCTGTTTGCGCGGCTGATCCAAGTACTGTTAATTCACTCGCGGCGCCGCGCTCTACTGTTCGCTTCTCACGTGGTAACGCCGTTCCGCCAGCTCGCACCATGTCGCTTCGCTTATTACCGCGCTTGCTGGCAACGATCCGCCAATCGGGATTGAGTTCATTGATTTCGTAGTTGTCGTGTCGTGTGTGTTGGGTGCATAACGTGTGCATCCCGTGATCTCTGCGTGCGTGCGCGGCGTTCGTCTCATGTCTTGGGCGATGAGCGAAGATGCTCTGAGCCATGACGGCGCGACACGTGAGCCATGATGGCAGGACTACGTGACGTGAGCATGACGTCGCACTGGTCTTGGCCAACGCGCTGCCGCCATTGCTCTTGAATCACACACCCACCCTTCCTGGCACGGCACGTTCATGCTTACCCTCCCATGCCTTCTCCCTCCTACTCTCCCCACGCCTCCTCTCCCCCACGCCTACTCTTCCCATTCCTACTCTCCTAGTGCCTACTCTCCCCATGCCTGTTCTCACCAGGCTTACTCTCCCCGTGTGCACTCCCCCATGCTTATTCACTCTCAATCTGGTGCCACCTATCCCCTTTCATTCCCCCCCTTGTTCCAGTCAACCCCATCACCCCCTGCCTGGCAACACCACCACGCATGGTGGCAGCAGGGATGGTTGCCGCGTTGTGACGGCACGGCCTTGCACTGCGCAGCGCACAGGGGCGTGTGAGTGCAGGGAGCCGTACGAAGTGCCAGCAGCGCCACTAACACGTTGCGATTGGGAGGTGCTTGCTGCCTGTTCCACCCTCAACAATCGGATCTACAGCTGGTCAGCAAGCCCCTACGACCCCATCAGCGCCTGAAGCGGGTTCTCCTTGCCGGGTGTGCGTGGGAGGTGGGACCTCTCACCGACTGCAGCACCACCAAAGCAGCCAGCCACCCCACCCCAGCGTCGGCAGCGTGGCGGCGGCACTGACCCCACTGCTGATGGACGCGTCTGGCCCGCCTGCCGACAGCCGGGACGCGGAGGGGGAGAAGGCAGCGCTGCACGCAGCGGTGCCACCCATGCTGTCAGCGGAGGAGGACGTGGAGCAGCCGCAGCGCATGCAGCTCTTCATGGCGCACCTCATGGCGCACCTCTTCTGCTGCGGCACCCTCGCCCGCCCCCACTGCGACATCCCCGCCGGGCCGCCAGAGGCCAACGACCCGTCACCACCCTCGCGAGGGTTTGTGCCCATAGATCGCTCCATGCCTCCCATCATGTCGGGCCGCGTGCTGCAGCTGCCCGCCTCCTACCTCTTCTCCGGTGGCCGACCCTCAGAGGACGACGACTAGCTTACCGTACTAGCAGGTGGCAGGTGGATTACGGTAGCCTTTGTTGAGTCGACGTAGGTAAGTAAGTGTTATGGAATGACTTGACTACCTATATCTTGTATTGAGTCTCCATACTTTCACGCATCAAATTAGATTGGTTGAAGAAGACGTACCATGTGATCTCCCGAACAGACTATTTTTGCTCGCACTACTGACAATCCATAAATGATAACAAAATTTGAGCAGCTTTGAAGCACCTGAACATTCTAAGGCTAGTAATGCTACCCCTCCACCCTCGTTTTTGCGATGCCCGCTTGTGCGAACCCCTCCTCCCGCTGCATGCGAGGCACTTACCCCAGCGGCCGCGTACCAGAGGGGCTATTGCCGACCGCCTCCGGAGCGATTGCTTCGAATTTTCTCCGTGCGCGCGCACCCGCCGTGTTGCTGTCGCAGCAGCGCAGTTGTCCGCAATGACGGCAGGGACAGGCGGAGCGGGGGGATTAAGGGTGGTGGGGAGCGGAAGATGGGAGAGGGAAGAATGCGCGGAGGACGCGTGAACATCGTTCCGCGGCAAGAAGGGGTGGCGCTCGTTCCGAGCGTTTTTCTTCCACCGGGTCACGTGGCTGCACTTGTCTAGTCCTCTTGCCAAGCCAGCAAGGGCGTGGGAGGGTTGCGAGCATCATCGGTCATCGGCGCTCGCGAATGAAGAGCGCCCGCTACACTTCCTGCACATGTGCGGATCCTTCCGCGTTTTGGGGGTGGAGGCGCTCGTTCCAAGCGTTTTTCTACCGTCGGGTCTCGTGGCTGCGCTTGTCTGGTCCTCTTGCCAAGCCAGCAAGGGTGTGGGAGGGTTGCGAGCATCATCGGTCATCGGCGCTCGCAAATGAAGAGCGCTCGCTGCACTTCGTGCACATGTGCGGATCCTTCCGCGTTTTGGGGGTACTAGCGCTCGTTCCGAGCATTTTTCTTCCACCGGGTCACGTGGCTGCGCTTGTCTGGTCCTCTTGCCAAGCCAGCAAGGGCATGGGAGGGTTGCGAGCATCATCGGTGATCGGCGCTCGCGAATGAAGAGTGCCCGCTGCACTTCCTGCACATGTGCGGATCCTTCCGCGTTTTGGGGGTGGAGGCGCTCGTTCCAAGCGTTTTTCTTTCGTCGGATCACGTGGCTGCGCTTGTCTGGTCCTCTTGCCAAGCCAGGAAGGGCGTGGGAGGGTTGCGAGCATCATCGGTGATCGGCGCTCGCAAATGAAGAGCGCCCGCTGCACTTCGTGCACATGTGCGGATCCTTCCGCGTTTTGGGGGTACTAGCGCTCGTTCCGAGCGTTTTCTTCCTCCGGGTCACGTTGCTGGGCTTGTCTGGTCCTCTTGCCAAGCCAGCAAGGGCGTGGGAGGGTTGCGAGCATCATCAGTCATCGGCGCTCGCGAATGAAGAGCGCCCGCTGCACTTCCTGCACATGTGCGGATCCTTCCGCGTTTCGGGGGTGGAGGCACTCGTTACAAGCGTTTTTCTTCCGCCGGGTCATGTGGTTGCGCTTGTCTGGTCCTCTTGCCAAGCCAGCAAAGGCGTGGGAGGGTTGTGAACATCATCAGTCAGTGGCGCTCGCGAATGAAGAGCGCCCGCTGCACTTCGTGCACATGTGCGGATCCTTCCGCGTTTTGGGGATACTAGCGCCCGTGCTGAGCGTTTTTCTTCCACCGGGTCACGTGGCTGCGCGAAATAGTATAATAAAGAAGAATAGAAAAAAAAAAGAGGCATCCAATGCAGTGGACCAATCAAAGTGGTGCGTTGGGCAGTCGGGGCAGTGTGCGCAGCTATAATGGGCGTACCGGGCAGAGTTCGGGCGCTCAAATCATGCCAACCACATGGAACGAAATGGAGCCACTTGTTGTGGCTGTGGGAAATAGTCTAATCAAGAGCACAAGCAAAAAAAACGAGGCATCAAATGCAGTGGACCAATCAAAGTGGTGCGTTGGGCAGTCGGGGCAGAGTGCGCACCTATAATGGGCGTACCGGACAGAGTTCGGGCGCTCAAATCATGCCAATTACTTGGAACGAAATGGAGCAACTTGTTGTGGGTATGGGAAATAGTCTAATCAAGAGGAATAGCAAAAAAAAAAAGGCATCCAATACAGTGGACCAATCAAAGTGGTGCGTTGGGCAGTCGGGGCAGAGTGCGCACCTATAATGGGCGTACCGGGCAGAGTTCAGGAGCTCAAATTTTGAGGCCATGCCAACCACATGGAACAAAATGGAGCCACTTGTTGTGGGTGTGGGAAATAGTCTAATCAAGAGGACTAGCAAAAAAAAAGAGGCATCCAATGCAGTGGACCAATCAAAGTGGTGCGTTGGGCAGACGGGGCAGTGTGCGCACCTGTAATGGGTGTACGGGGCAGAGTTCGGGCGCTCAAATCATGCCAACCACATGGAACGAAATGGAGCCACTTGTTGTGGGTGTGGGAAATAGTCTAATCAAGAGGAATAGCAAAAGAAAAAGAGGCATCCATTGAAGTGGACCAATCAAAGTGGTGCGTTGGGCAGTCGGGGCAGTGTGCGCACCTGTAATGGGCGTACCGGGCAGTGTTCGTTCGCTCAAATCATGCCAAACACATGGAACAAAATGGAGCCACTTGTTGTGGGTGTGGGAAATAGTCTAATCAAGAGGAATCGAAAAAAAAAGAGGCATCCAATGCAGTGGACCAATCAAAGTGGTGCGTTGGGCAGTCGGGGCAGTGTGCGCACCTGTAATGGGCGTACCGGGCAGAGTTCGGGCGCTCAAATCATGCCAACCACATGGAACGAAATGGAGCCACTTGTTGTGGGTGTGGGAAATAGTCTAATCAAGAGGACTAGTAAAAGAAAAGAGGCATCCAATGCAGTGGACCAATCAAAGTTGTGCGTTGGGCAGTCGGGGCAGAGTGCGCACCTATAATGGGCGTACCGGGCAGAGTTCGGGCGCTCAAATCATGCCAACCACATGGAACGAAATGGAGCCACTTGTTGTGGCTGTGGGAAATAGCCTAATCAAGAGGAATAGAAAAAAAAGAGGCATCAAATACAGTGGACCAATCAAAATGGTGCGTTGGGCAGACGGGGCAGTGTGCGCACCTGTAATGGGCGTACCGGGCAGAGTTCGGGCGCTCAAATCATGCCAACCACATGGAACGAAAGCAGTGGGAAATAGCCTAATCAAGAGGACTAGCAAAAAAAAAAGATGCATCCAATACAGTGGACCAATCAAAGTGGTGCGTTGGGCAGTCGGGGCAGTGTGCGCAGCTATAATGGGCGTACCGGGCAGAGTTCGGGCGCTCAAATCATGCCAACCACATGGAACGAAATGGAGCCACTTGTTGTGGGTGTGGGAAATAGTCTAATCAAGAGGACTAGCAAAAAAAAAGAGGCATCCAATGCAGTGGACCAATCAAAGTGGTGCGTTGGGCAGACGGGGCAGTGTGCGCACCTGTAATGGGCGTACCGGGCAGAGTTCGGGCGCTCAAATCATGCCAACCACATGGAACGAAATGGAGCCACTTGTTGTGGGTGTGGGAAATAGTCTAATCAAGAGGAATAGCAAAAAAAAAGAGGCATCCAATGCAGTGGACCAATCAAAGTGGTGCGTTGGGCAGACGGGGCAGTGTGCGCACCTGTAATGGGCGTACCGGGCAGAGTTCGGGCGCTCAAATCATGCCAACCACATGGAACGAAATGGAGCCACTTGTTGTGGGTGTGGGAAATAGTCTAATCAAGAGGAATAGCAAAAAAAAAGAGGCATCCAATGCAGTGGACCAATCAAAGTGGTGCGTTGGGCAGACGGGGCAGTGTGCGCACCTGTAATGGGCGTACCGGGCAGAGTTCGGGCGCTCAAATCATGCCAACCACATGGAACGAAATGGAGCCACTTTTTGTTGGTGTGGAAAATAGTCTAATCAAGAGGAATAGCAAAAAAAACGAGGCATCCAATGCAGTGGACCAATCAAAGTGGTGCGTTGGGCAGACGGGGCAGTGTGCGCACCTGTAATGGGCGTACCGGGCAGAGTTCGGGCGCTCAAATCATGCCAACCACATGGAACGAAATGGAGCCACTTGTTGTGGGTGTGGGAAATATTCTAATAAAGAGGACTAGCAAAAAAAACGAGGCATCCAATGCAGTGGACCAATCAAAGTTGTGCGTTGGGCAGTCGGGGCAGTGCGCGCACATGTAATAGGCGTACTAGGCAGTGTTCGGGCGCTCAAATCATGCCAACCACATGGAACGAAATGGAGCCACTTGTTGTGGGTGTGGGAAATAGTCTAATCAAGAGGAATAGCAAAAAAAAAGAGGCATCCAATGCAGTGGACCAATCAAAGTGGTGCGTTGGGCAGTCGGGGCAGTGTGCGCACCTGTAATGGGCGTACCGGGCAGAGTTTGAGCGCTCAAATCATGCCAACCACATGGAACGAAATGGAGCCACTTTTTGTGGGTGTGGGAAATAGTCTAATCAAGAGGACTAGCAAAAAAAAAGAGGCATCCAATGCAGTGGACCAATCAAAGTGGTGCGTTGGGCAGACGGGGCAGTGCGCGCATCTGTAATGGGCGTACCGGGCAGAGTTCGGGCGCTCAAATCATGCCAACCACATGGAACGAAATGGAGCCACTTGTTGTGGGTGTGGGAAATAGTCTAATCAAGAGGAATAGCAAAAAAAACGAGGCATCCAATGCAGTGGACCAATCAAAGTGGTGCGTTGGGCAGTCGGGGCAGTGCGCGCACCTGTAATGGGCGTACCGGGCAGAGTTCGGGCGCTCAAATCATGCCAACCACATGGAACGAAATGGAGCCACTTGTTGTGGGTGTGGAAAATAGTCTAATCAAGAGGACTAGCAAAAAAAAAGAGGCATCCAATGCAGTGGACCAATCAAAGTGGTGCGTTGGGCAGACGGGGCAGTGTGCGCACCTGTAATGGGCGTACCGGGCAGAGTTCGGGCGCTCAAATCATGCCAACCACATGGAACGAAATGGAGCCACTTGTTGTGGGTGTGGGAAAT